ATTTATTTATTTATTTATTTATTTATTTATTTATTTATTCAATATTTCCTGACACTTTCAGACAGATCAAAAATGAGGAATGTTGCTGCCTGCTTAATAAATATTGTGAAGAGAATGAAAAAATCTTTTTGTTATCAAATAACTACAGATGAAGATGTTCTGTTCTTATTTGCACATGTTCTGTATTCTTTCCATTCCTTGATGAAAGATTCACCAGAACGTTGGGGAACTTTAGGAGCTTGGGAATCGTTTTCTATTAATCCTGTGACTTGTACTTTTAATCAACTTTTCTCTGAGTTGAATTAATTACTTTAGTTATGCCTAATTGGCRTTACTGGTACTTTAATTTGATTTTGACCTGGGAAAGGTTTTTCAATTTTATTTATTTGTCAAAAAAAGGTGAATTTATCTTTATCCTGACTGATTCATAAAGTCAATAAAAGCATAAAAAAACAAGGTGGTGAATTATTTTTAACGACACTGTCTGCTGCTTATCGCAAATGTCACCATCTAATCGTCTTGTGAACCTTTTCTATTGTCCTGTCTTCCAAGTAGTGMGATTAGAGAAGAACAGATTAGGATTAAAGGAGAACTAATATAGCATGCAGCCAATTTTATCAGCCACCACGTGTGTGTATACAAGTATCTGTTTACATTTGTGCCTGGTTTGCACTCATTTGTAATTATTTCCTGCAGCAACAACATGTTGGACCAGGTTGCTTTAGGTAATTATAAATTGTGTCACAGATCATATAACACAACTGCTATAATAATAAGACAAAAAAAAATCACAAAATGAATCGGTTTTATTTTTTTTACCTGAGTAAATATATTCCAGACATTCCAACATGCAATGAAAAAGTTAATTTTTTACCATCTCAGACTGTCTGAATTTTCTGTTTACTCACAAAAAGACCTATTGTTCTGCAAGGAAACAATAGAGCTGCTCAATAACAAACAACAATGTAGGCAGAAGTGCAAGAAAAGCATCACGATAACAGCAGGTAATGTAGATGTGATCAAATATGTATTTTAGTGATGTTAAGCTTGTTTTTATTCAATAGTTTTTTACAAAGACCACATATCAATTTGCCTAGAGTGACAAAGTATCAGTGAATCAATGCAAAGAAACTCAACACACAACTAGCAGCTCACAAAGGTCTAGTCTGTCTGGACGTTAGCGACCCAGCCTATTTAAAGGTTCTTAAAGGTCAAAATAGTGTCTGCTAGACAAATGCCATTTTTCATTGGTGGCACAAAGGATCTGATTTAAAAGAGCGGCAGTCACCATGGTGACTAAAACAACTTTTAGAAAAAAAACTGAAATGTTATATATATATGTTAATTGTAGCTGTCAGTGGGCTTAAATTATATACTGAGACCATGATTCTTTTCCCTCTGGAATGGAAAATAAAACTAAACTATGCTATTCTTGTATTATTCCAGTTAAGCGTGGCAATATGTTTTCAAATTGATTAAATCAGTGGTTTTCAAACTTTTTCCCTTCCAGTCCACAAAATAACGGTTGCAGAAACGCGTGACCCCAGATTAGGGCTGCCACAAACGATTATTTTTATAATCGATTTATCACCAATTATTTTTTCGATTAGTCGACTAATCGGATCATATGT